CTCTGTAGTTTATCCATTAGAAAAGCACCTGGTCCTGACAATGTTTTTCCAATTATTCTTCGTACTGTTGCTCCAGTAATTGCTAAATTTCTTGCTAATATATATAATGACTGTTTGAAATTCAATTATTTTCCTAAGATTTGGAAAGAGGGTAAATTGATTTTAATTCCGAAAGGAGGTTCTGTTTCTAGATCAGATCCTCTTAAAGGTTTGAGACCAATTACTTTATTGCCTATTCTTGGTAAACTTTTGGAAAATCTAATTAAAAATCACATGTTTTCTGAAATACCAGAAAGTGTATTTCATAATAAGGACCAATTTGGCTTTAGAATAGGTCGTTCGACCTCTGATGCTATAACTGGGTTGACTAAAGAGATTGATTCATGTAAATCTACTTTCTTAGCTATTTGCATTTTAGATTTCAAGGGTGCTTTTGATAATGTATGGTGGCCAACTATTATACACTCTTTAATAAACAAAGGTTTATCTTCTGACATAATTAATATGATTAAAAGTTACTTATCAAATAGAATTTCATCTCTTTCTCTTGGTTCTGCTTAAGTTTCAAAATCTTTAACAAGATGTTGCCCTCAAGGTTCAGTTCTTGGTCCTTTATTGTGGAATACCGCACTGGATTCCTTATTAAAAATTCCTATTGGTAAAAATATTAAAAAATTTGCTTATGCAGATGATCTTGCTATTGTTGTGTCTGCTAATAATAGAACTCATGAACCTCCATGAATAATGCACTTAGAATTATTAATTCTTGGGCTGGCGAAAATAAATTGAGTTTTTCTCATGATAAGTGTTGTTATATGATCTTTAAGGGTAAGCATAAAAGAAGACCAGGTATTAAATTAAATAATAAATCTGTACGGTTTGTTCAATCAACAAAATATTTGGGAATTACTTTAGACCCTCTTCTAAATTATCAACTTCATATTAAAAATGTTTGTTTTAAATCTAAAAGTTTATTCTCTAATCTTAGAAGACATATCACCATCTGATAGTTTGAAAATTATTTATAAAATGGCTGTTATTCCCATTGTTGGATACTCATTTGATATATGGTCAAATAAAGCTAATTATTGCCGTGCTGAAAGATTTCTAAATTCTTGTAGAGCGATGTGTGCTCGTGTTATTTCTTGATGTTATAGAGATGTAGCCGCTGAAGCAGCTGGTGTTATTGCTAATATCAAACCACTATATATTGCACTTTCTGAAAGATCTGCCCTATCAAAATTAAGAAGAAAAATTCCTGCTAAACATTTAAACCTATCTTGGCCTGATTATAACAATTTACCCAAATTAAGAGTAGCTAAAACTCTAATTGAATCTGCAAGTATTGAATATTGGCAAACTATATGGGATTACTGCCCAGTAGGTCGTTTAACATATAAATTTTTACCCTCTATAATTAATAGACAAAATTTTAATATCCCTCATTCTCGTGGATTAGCTGCAATTCTTTCTGGTCACGGAAGATTTAAAAGACATTTTCATCTTCGTGGTGGTGCTGATGACCCATATTGTATGGAATGTGGAACAATTGATGATCCTACTCACAGAATTTTTGACTGTCCTTTATTTGATTTATCAAGAAATGACCTAATCGATGCTTTGCCGAATTGGCCTATTTCACATGAAAGATTATTTGAATTACTTTTAGATTTAAATTTAACTGGTCTTCTTTTACCTTTTACTAAATGTGATCTACCGAATGAATAATAATTGTAATCGCCATCCTATGAATTTTATGTTTCATTGTCTGTTGATATTTGAATATATTTACTCTTAATCAGTGTGATTATTTAATTATATACTTTGAATTAAGATACTTGTTAGGCTTATATATGCCGAAATCACTCTATTATTTTATCTTTACCTGTACAACTGTACAATTCATCAAATTCATTTATTTTTAATTATTACTAAATTAACAATTTATTTTTTTTAAATATATTTTTCTATCTATAAATACAACATTGTATCTACATTAAAAAATATTTTTACCAATCCAAGGGTTATTGGTACCTTGGACACCATTGGTGTAAGCTTAAGAGGGGCCCTTATTATTTTTTTTATTATTACTATTATTATTATTATCTCAGCTCATAGATATTCTTCTTAAATCATTACCGATCCATTTTAAAATTTAATAATAATATTATTTTCCAATTATTTTGGAGTATATTCGTCATATAAAGGTTATAAATACTTTTAATGTAAATTATTTCAATAAAGTTTGTGGATTGGGAAGATAAGAGAGATATATGACATGGGCTTGGGGTTGTAAGATTTGTTCTGTTGTTGTCACTCGTGTTCCTTTACGCGGATGACAGCATAGTGGCAATTCTTACTTTAGGGGTCTCCTCCTCTCTCTCTTCTTCTTCTTCTTCTTCTTCACCCGCGAACGTCTGCTTCTACCCGCGAACACCTGATTTCATCCGCGAACGTCTGCTTTCATCCTGTTTCACCCGCAAACGTCTGCTTTTACCTGCGAACGCCTGCTTCGCTTTGTCTACGAACGCCCAGTTATACCTGTCTTTCGTCCGGTAAGTGCACTCCTGCAATCGTCTGAAATCATCTGCGATCGCCGGCATTCACTTTGATCTACTTTCGCCCGTTTTCACCCGCAAACGTCTGCTTTCACTTGCGAACGTCTACTTTCATCCACGAACGTCTGCTTTCACCCGCGAACGTCTAATTTCACCCGCAAAGGTTGCTTTCGCCCGGTTTCATCTGTAAACGTCTGCTTTCACCGCGTACGTCTGCATTCATCCAGTTTTATCTGCCCTGCTGAAAAAGCCGGGTGATTGCAGGCATGTGCGGGTAAAAGACCAAGCTGGTTTTACGTCCGGTTTTATATGTTTTTTGCCTGCCATGCCAGATTTTGCCCGCACGCCTGCTTTCGCCTGCGCTGCCGGGTGTAAATATCACCCGCAAACGCCCGGCATTTACGTTAATTATATATAAGAGTATGCTTTCGCCTGATTTCACTCGCGTTTGCCTGCATTTTGATTTTCTGCCCGGATTCATCCGCGAACGTATGTTTTTACATGTGTACGTCTCCATTCGTCCGAGAACGTCTACTTTTACCCGCAAACGTCTGCCCTCGCCCAGTTTCATCCGTGAACGTCTGCTTTTACCCGCTAACATCTGCTTTCACCCGCGAACGTCTGCTTTTAGCCGCGAACGTCTGCTTTCACCCGCGAACGTCTACTTTTACTCGCGAACGTCTGATTTTATCCGCTAACGTCTGCTTTTATCCTGTTTCACCCGCAAACGTCTGCTTTTACCTGCGAACGCCTGCTTCGCTTTGTCTACGAACTTTGTCTTTTGTCCGGTAAGTGCACTCCTGCAATCATATGAAATCATCTGCGATCGCCGGCATTCACTTTTATCTACTTTCGCCCGTTTTCACCCGCAAACGTCTGCTTTCACTTGCGAACGTCTACTTTCATCCTCGAACGTCTGCTTTCACCCGCGAACGTTTAATTTCATCCGCGAAGGTCTGCTTTCGCCCGGTTTCATCTGTAAACGTCTGCTTCCACCCGCTTACGTCCGCGAACGTCGGCTTTCGTCCGCGAACGTCGGCTTTCGTCCGCGAACGTCGGCTTTCGTCCGCGAACGTCGGCTTTCGTCCGCAAACGTCGGCTTTCGTCCGCGAACGTCGGCTTTCGTCCGCGAACGTCGGCTTTCGTCCGCGAACGTCGGCTTTCGTCCGCGAACGTCGGCTTTCGTCCGCGAACGTCGGCTTTCGTCCGCGAACGTCGGCTTTCGTCCGCGAACGTCGGCTTTCGTCCGCGAACGTCGGCTTTCGTCCGCGAACGTCTGCTTTCATCCGCAAATGTCTGCTTTCACCTGCGTACGTCTGTGTTTACCCGCAAACGTCTGCTTTCAGTCTGCGAACGTCTGCTTTCACACACAAACGTCTGCTTTTACCTGCGAACGCCTGCTTAGCTTCTTCTACGAATACCCGCAAACGTCGGCTTTCGTCCGAGAGGGGCCCTTATTATTTTTTTTATTATTACTATTATTATTATTATCTCAGCTCATAGATATTCTTCTTAAATCATTACCGATCCATTTTCAAATTTAATATTAATATTATTTTCCAATTATTTTGGAGTATATTCGTCATATAAAGGTTATATATACTTTTAATGTAAATTATATCAATAAAGTTTGTGGATTGGGAAGATGAGAGAGAGAGGTATGACATGGGCTTGGGGTTGTAAGATTTGTTATGTTGTTGTCACTCGTGTTCCTTTACGCGGATGACAGCATCGTGGCATTTCTTACTTTAGGGGTCTCCCCCTCTCTCTCTTCTTCTTCTTCTTCTTCTTCGTCCGCGAACGTCGGATATCGTCCGCGAACGTCGGCTTTCGTCCGCGAACGTCTGCTTTTATTCGCAAACGTCTGCTTTCAGTCTGCGAACGTCTGCTTTCACACACAAACGTCTGCTTTTACCTGCGAACGCCCTCGATGAAATGGTGACCATTTGTACGGAATGTTGCTGTATTGCTGTATACAGCAATACATTGTCCGGAATTTTACTAGGCCATACATCATTCCAGCAAAACGTACATTTCCTTAAAGTCCTTATTATTTTTAAACTTTTAGCCTATAGCCGCTATAGCGGTATGTAACTGAGAACATTTTTGCTTACAATATACACTAAACTACAGTAAGCAAAGTACAGTTTACTTTCATTTTCAGAAGCGTGCTTTGCCTATTTTATTTTGTACGATTTGTATTCTAAAATCGAGGATGATCAAGTATTATTTAAAAAAATCGCCCAATAGAGAAATATTTATAGGTTTACTAAATTTTTAAATATTTAAATAAATTTTGATTAAATTTAAGGTGCCACATTTGTTAAAAATCACTGGTCACCCTAGACTTACGAGTGTTGCTAACGATAAAACTAGTACTTTTCTTAACGAGTGTCTCTAAAGTTTGCTGTTTCATTAACAATGCGAAAATGTTGTTTTTAGGTAAATACATAAGTAAAGATCAAGGATCATTTAAACCAATAGTAACATTTTTGTGTAGAGGATTAGAACCCACTGATTTTAAACCCATTGAAGGTTGGATTGCCAAAGCTGATGAAAGTGGTACTGTTTTTGAAAATATTGATCTCTCTGAAAAGGAATGGGTAGATTATGATGAAAATAAACAACAATCTGTTGGAATTTATGAATTTGAGCATAGATTTGTTAAATAAATATTTTTTTATTTGCTTGACTGTTTTCTTTAAACAATTAAAATAATTTTGTTTTAAAAATTACATTTTTTTAGGTCTGCCTTGTGATAAAGGAGATTCACAAGTGTGAAAAAGCGGCAGGGAATTTTGTGGCTTGCACGACTATTATTACTTTTTAGGCTTTCAAATCAATAGAAAATATCAGATGAAATATGTACCTATGTATTAAAGAAAAAACGAATTGCCTCTATATGTTATAATTGTGTTAAAACATTCTTTTGTCCTTATTTGCAGCAATTCCCAGCTAACAAAGTTGTGATTTGGCGTTGGTAGATGAAGTAGTTGTAGTGATGTTACATTGGACTGTCGTCATCTTGGTTTTCTTGATTTTCACAACGTTTCGATTGGTTGTCTCCAATCGTCTTCAGGTGATAATGGTAAAATATTTCGAAACTTTTGTTAAATAGCTGGTCGATCTTGTTCATTGAGCATTGCGTAGGATTGGTTTCCACAGCGGTTTGCCGAAAATATTGTTATTCTGGCTGATGTATGTAGCTTCCAGGAATTTTCTTTTCAGTCTGTGTAGAATTTTTGAATTTAACCATGAGATATTGTGGTGTTCCTTCCAGCTAATCCAGATTTCGTGGTTTCCCCTTTTGTAGTGTGTGTTTTGTGTTCTTTTATCCTAACTTCTAGTGGTCTCTTTGTTTCTCCTATAGAGGCTTGTCCGCAATCACAAGGGACGTGATAAATTACGTTTTTTGCTGGGTTTTGTTCTGGTTAATAGGCTTCTGAGTGTGTTTCTTGAAGAAAAAACCGTTCTACTCCTAGAGGTTTTGCGATTCTTCTAATTTTCTAGCACACTTAGGACTTACAATACCTTACGAACAGGGCATCTTCGAGAAAATTGTAATGGTATTTTCTAGTGACGCACTTGCCTATTGGTTTGTCTAATACAAAACTAATTTCGGGCGCCAGCTTCTTTTTATTGTGGTGAAGCGCCACACCTAGGTAGCTTTCATACAGTGGAGAAAGTAAAACTAGGGTTCAGATAGCAATGAAACGCTGGAGTAAATTTAACACGTATATTGACTGTAATGTTTAATTATTTTAAATTTAAAAATTTTGGCGGTAGCTACAAAAGCGCCACCTACTGGTAACTAAAACGGAAATACAAAATTGATTCCACAGCCGGCACCGAGACAGATAAGTTTCTATAAAATGTATATAAATATTTAACTGTGTAAACAAGTGTTGGTTTAATTTAGAAAGTACTCCAGTTCCCGATGATTTAAACATAACATTTGGCGACGAGGTAAATTTGGATTTAAAGATAGAATGGCGAATATAATAGGGAGCATGGCTGAGTTTAATATGGACACGGATGACTGGATTGTATGCGCAGAAAAGTTGGACCAGTATTTCCAAGCGAACAAAATAGAGGACGAAAAGATTAAAACAGCAACTCTCATTAGCTTGGTAGGCACATCTACATACAAAATTCTGCGCGACTTAACCTTTCCTGACCTTCCAAAGGACAAAGCATGTGAGGAACTCACTGCGTTATTAAAAAAACAATTTAGCCCACATGGATCCGTGTGGAGACAAAGAATATTATTCTATGCAGCATCTCAGAACGATTTGGAATCAATCTCAGAATGGTATGCAAGAATGAGGTCATTGGCAATAAATTGTAACTTCAGAAACGATCTTCAACAAGTATTAACAAATAAATTCGTCTAAGAAAAGGCAAAATACTAGACCGAGTTTGTGAAGAAAAAGAGACTTCCACCTTGAAAGTTCTACTACAAACTGCGGTGCAAAAGGAATCGACAATTTCATCAACAAAAAATGAAATTAATTATGTCAACAACAAGCCCAGGTATGAAGAAACAAGAAGACATTACCAGCATCATCCCAGGAACACTGAAAGGAGCCATAAAGTCACAGCAAGCAAAGAAAACACTTACCGATCACAGAAGTACCAAAGAGGAACGTATGGACAGCATAGCCAGTCAACTACAGAAGCAAGACCCAGATGTAAACATTGTGGTAACAGACATTCAAAAACCTGTAGGTATCAAAATTTTAAATGTGATTTTTGTAAAAAAAATTGTTCATGTTGCAAGTGCTTGTTTTAAAAAGGACAATAATTATTATATTGATAGATTTAATGAATCTTTAACTGTAAATGAATCTGAAATCTTAGATATTTATAATATTAACACCAATAATAATACCAATTCTTTTACTTTAGATATTTTAATTGACAAAAATAAATATAAAATGAGTGTAGACACTGGTGCTGCTCAATCGTGTATAAGTTATGAATATTATGAAAAGAATTAAAAAAAAATTAACAAATGAAGATACATTGTTATATTATATATTATTATATAATATTTAGAGGGTATACTGGAAATTTTATAAAACCTGTGGGATATTTTATTTGTGTTGTAAATTTAAATTGTGTTTGTAAAAAATAAAATTCTATGTGGTGCAAAATGGAGGACCTTGCTTACTAGGGAGAAATTTCTTAAAAGCATTTAATATAACCTTAAGTATTGACAATTTTAAATCAATATGTAGTATTAAAAATTTAAAAACTGAAATATTTAATGAATATGACGATGATTTTAGTGATAAACTAGGGAAATTTAAACAAAAAAAAATTAAATTACAGTTGGAAGAAAATGCAACTCCAATTTTCCATAAGACTCGACCTGTACCACTTGTCTATCGTAATGAAGTTGAGAAACAAAAATTTGCCATGGTTAAACAAGACATCATAGAACCAGTTACTACCAGCGATTGGGGGACACCCATAGTTCCTATCATCAAAGCCGACAACACAATAAGAATATGTGGAGACTACAAATCAACAGTAAACAAATTTTGAAACGTGTAGACTACCCACTTCCAAGAATAGAGGACATATTTGACAAATTAAATGGAGGTAAAACATTTACTAAATTAGATTTAAGCCAAGCTTATTTGCAATTAGAATTAAGTGAAGAAAGCCAAATGATAATGACATGGTCAACACACAAGGGACTATTTAAGGTAAAGAGAATGCCTTTTGGAATAACCCCAGCAGCATCCATATTTCAAGAAAACATTGATAAACTCTTACAAGGATTGAATGGTGTGAAAAAGTATCAAGATGATATTATATTAACTGGAGACAATACAGAAAATCACATAAATAATTTGAAAGCAGTACTAAACAAACTAAGAGAAGCTGGCCTCACCTTAAAAAAAGAAAAATGTTCATTTTTTAAAGAATCAGTAGAATATTTTGGACAAGAAATTAACAAAGAAGGAATCAAAAAAACTGACACAAAAATAAGTGCAATAATAAATGCCCCACGACCAACAACTATAACGCAAGTAAGATCATTCATTGGTTTAGTAAACTATTATTCAAAATTGTGGCATGCGCAAGCCGGACGACCATGCCACAAGAAAATAAATATTCCGTAATTGAAGTAGAAGCATTAGCAATAATATTTGGCATCAGAAAATTTCAAAACTATCTTCAGGGACAACACTTCACAATAAATATGGACCACAAACCATTATCGGGACTTTTTGGTAAAAACAATCCCATTCCAAATAGACACAAAGATAGAATACAAAGATGGAGCATATGACTCAGTGGATTTGACTACACCATTAAGCATATTTATAAATGGTAAAGAAAATTTTTTAGCTGTATCTGATGAATACCAAAGGGAAGGATTTATATATTTCACTGAAAATTGCAATGAGTGGCCTGTTGATAACTATAAAATTAAAAAAAGAAACTCTGAAAGACAAATTTTTACAAGAAGTATGTAAGTATATACAAACAGAAAAATGGCCTGACAACATCCAAAATGAACTAAAACCATTTTATCAAAGAAGAGAAAAATTAAATATAGAAAATGACACCTTAATTTGGGGGTATAGAATCGTGATACCCAACAGTTTAAGAAAGAAAATGACGTTGGACTGGCTGGAGGGGATGATCTCCTCGATCATAACATGGGAAGGGGCATCACTGCGCGTGCAGCGGTACATTCCCAGGGCAATTAAGATGGTTGCAGCTGTCCAAGGTCTCCCAGACGACACCCCCACCATCCTTAAGCGGCTCCACAGACAGAATCCTGGTCTTAGGACAAATCTGTAGAGGACGTATCACCGTAAAGAGGAGAAGAACGGGGTTCTCCTGGTTTTTGGAGTTGACGAGGCTTCAGCCGAGGTCTTGCAGCGACAAAAACTTAAAACGTTCGCAGGGGTCTCTGTCGTCACTTTCATGACGAAGGCAAAGGCTCCAGCTGCGCCGGAGAAAAAGACGGCTCCAGCCGAGGAGGGTAGTAGCAATACTCCCTTATCGGAAGAAACGTCTACGCCCGAACCAGATCCGGCAGCAACACTGGACAAGGAGGTGGCCGAGCTCATGGCTCAGGTGGATGTACAGGATACTTCACCAGGGACAAGGGCTGGACCATCCGTAACCTAGAAATCAGATCCTATATCTATCCTCCACCATGGATAAAGAGACCTTATTTCTACAAAGCAATTTGCAACATAGCAAAGGTGATTTCCTTAATAGATCGTCACATAGCTATGGGGCAGACACAGATATATCTCCTACAAGAACCTTGGTCATACAAGGGTCGCGTAAGGGGCCTAGGTAGATGGGAAAGATTTCTCTTCTACAAGAGGGACGACCAACTAAATCCAAGGGCTTGTATCTACGTCGACAGATGGATCGAGTCCTCTAATAGCTAATTTCTGTTCTAGGGACTTGATAGCAGTGAAACTATGCCTTAAGGACAGACCAGGACAGAGCACATCCTTGGTGGTATGCTCGGCCTATCTGCCCTATGACTCGATAGACGATTCTCCAACACAGGAGCTCATCGATATAGTGGAATACTGCAGCACATTGGGCCTCCCGCTGATCATCGGATGCGATGCCAACGCACACCATACGGTGTGGGGAAGCACCGACACGAATCGGAGAGGGCTCAGCCTCTTAGAGTATCTAC